ATACATTATAACTACAAGAAAATAAGAAGATAAGAAAATAAATTATGGGAAAATGACAAGTTATGGAAGGAGTTTGTCGATTTAAAATAGGTGGTGCCCGCCACCCTACCGATATTTTAGAATGTGCTCTAGAGTAAAAAAAGGTTGGGAACCCCTGATTTACACAATTGAGGACTCATATAAAGGCAATGATATTTTTATGTACAGTTAAAAAATAAAAATTTGATAGGCTAAATTTTTCTTCTATAACAAAAAATTTATTTAACATGTATTAATCGCTATGTACTATTTATTTTGTTAATGCTACGCAGAATCAATCTTTTTAACTGCACAGAATCTGATGAAAACATAAGCATAAAATATATACTAACAAAGAAAAATAAGTGTATTATGTCTTGAAAATCCGATTTGGAATGCATTTTTGAGACAACACACAAAAAATAAATTTTGAAGTGCATCTCGAGCAGACAGCTGTCTAAAACGTCAGCATCCGTTATTTCGGAATTTCACATACCTACTTAAGAGTGATTTCAGTTATGTAATTAAAAAAATAGTGACTACTAATAATACTGAACTACATCAATCAATCATCAATTAGTAGTTTTTGATCCCCATTATATCAGTCATTAGTGCTATTACTGTATTACCATTACCATTTAATCATGTACACTTGCACTAAACTGTAAATTTGGAGAAATAGCACCTCGTCTGCCATCTTGGTTGCCGCGCCCCACGAAATGTCCTAAACGTATCCCTAAACCTAGATACTTTGGTCAAAAATGTAAACATTTTGTAAAAATAAACCAATGGCATAGTTGAATAGAGCTAATTTTTTACAGAATTATAACACCAAAATCATATTTTTAGCTGTTGTATCACAGTGAACTTTTTTCTCCCCCCTTTTTTCACCACTGCATATTTAAACTCTCACTCACTTTCCTTCTGCCACACTCCTATTGCTGCCCACAGATACTACTTACCAGCTAAGTGCTATTTCTTATTTTTATCTGTATACCGTTTTATCTGTTGTTTTGTTCGCTGACGAAGGCTTTCTGCTGACACGTTCGCTGTTTTGTTGCGTTTATTTTTTCAGGTTTAACCCTACTTTGTTTTACTCATTCACTCATTCAACTAAAATAAACACGCAAATGACGTCATGGTCTCCGTATTAGCCAAATCATAATGTAGATACTTCGATGAAAGAAGGGAGACTACTATTTTTTTTGTATCGGAAATGGGCGTCGGCGCCGAAAAATCCGAGTTTTTAATTTTCCGATGTGTGTGTCTATTTATTATTAAATTAGTTCTTTCCACATATATTTGAGTTCCGTTTCCGGCCTTATAATTTGGAAGACATCTTGGCCTACATTTCTAGCCAGCTATTTTGCTTTTTTCAATCGACCTTTATTTTGAAAATCTTTGGTATATATAAGGCATCTTCGCATACAAAATTTTTTGTGAAATAATAAGATAAGGTCCTTTTTGATTAAATCTGTATGAGCATTAGATATTGATCTATATCTGTGCCAAGTTTCATTGATGTAGGTCGTGTCTCACGTTTGTTACACTTGTCACAGTGACCCATATCACCATAAGGTGGCTCAGCCTAATTTCGACATGGCGTGGGCCACGCCCCCTTTTTAATGGCGGAAGTTGTCGATACTTAGGAAATATTTAATTATTACCACTATATACATCAAAATATTTTATATTTTGTGTTTCAGAATGCATTTTGAAGACATTTAAACTGGAAATGTTTTAATTTGAGCTTTAAAAACCCTGCAGAGTCCATAATATAAATGATCAGAATTTTCCCTGTGCAACACGTTGTCATTGGCAACCATTCACAGCCACTTGCATAACGGCTACGTCGTAGTACTATCTCAGAGTTTCATTCATAAGAGTTTGCCGTGTGCAAAAGCTATTAAACCATTGGTCAGGGAAAGCTTTTATTAATTATTCATGTGCCAAAGTTGAAAGTTTAAAATAAGTCGACCCTAAACAGTATTTTAGTGATAAGGGAATGCTTTGCCTTATATAAACTATATAGTCATTGCGCATGACGCGATCAGTGGAATGAGGTCACAGAATGTGGAGATGCAGTCTATGTTAAAAAATGACAAACCAAGTCGTACTTTAAAAATTCATAACTTTAAAACTACAACAGCTAAAAATATGATTTTGGTGTTATAATTATGTTTAAAATTAGCTCTATTCAACTGTGCCATTGGTTTATTTTTAAAAAATGTTAACATTTTTGACCAAAGTATCTACTATGTACTATGTTAAAAAATGACAAACCAAGTCGTACTTTAATAATTCATAACTTTAAAACTACAACAGCTAAAAATATGATTTTGGTGTTATAATTATGTTTAAAATTATCTCTATTCAACTGTGCCATTGGTTTATTTTTAAAAAATGTTTACATTTTTGACCAAAGTATCTACTGAATCATATTCATAATTCATATTGCAATCCCTACCACCATGTCAGTTTATAAAGTATAAAGTTAAATACTGAAAAGAGTATTTACATAGAAGTCAAGGCAAGTAAGAACATTTTAAGGGTCTGAAATAAAGTATAATGTACCTGAAATTCAAGTGTTGCTTGTTGTCCCTGCTCAACATTTTCATAGAAACACATCTTTTCATTGTCGGGAAGTTCGAAAGTCAATTCACCGGATAGCGATAATTCAACTAAAGACACTGCAATAACGGCCAAGATCTGTATGAAATTCATTTTAAGATATCGTTCGTGTCTGCACTGAGTAGTCTAAGATACTTAATAAATCAAACAGTCAATTAAAATTGATAGTTTTTAGAAAAAATTACTGATAATGACGTGGAGGAGCCGGTGCCTTGGATCCTCAACAACAATAAAGAATTCCATTTCCGGTCAGAGCAACACAATTCACCGGAAAAAAACTGCTACACGTGAAGTATCTGTTGGATCCGGTCAAAAGTTGTAGATGTTTAAAATGTTCTTTTCTCCTTTTTTTTTTGGGGGGGGGGGGGNNNNGGGGGGGGGGGGGGGGGACTAACTTTCCTGGTTGGAACTGGCAGATTCCTGCCCTGAAGCCCAACTCCCCATTCCCTGTCCTACACTCTGACTTCATGGATTGATTTGAAACCATGATCTGGAACAGCTGGTTAAAGTACCCACGATGGGGGAAAACACCCTTGACATACTCCTTACCAACTGTCCACATCTCATCCTAAGAGTTTAAGTCATCCCCGAGATATCAGACCAATGCATACCATGTTGTGAATTTCAGGTCAACATACTAAAAAAGAAGCAGGTCGTATGAGACATCCCAATTTATGCCAAGGCAGACTGGAATGGCCTGAGAAGTGCAACGACAGAGCTGAGCTCTAAGTTGCAGGAGATTCAGGGTACAGCGACAACAGAAAAGCTATGGATGAAGTTTAAGACAACCATTACTGGTGCGGGGAAAAACTACATACCATACCAGACCACCAAACCTAATACAAATCAGCCATGGGTCACGGCTAAAATCCGTAGGCTCATCCGCCAGTACCATTACAAGGGATTGAAGAAAAATGGCTCGGTTTAACTGAAAGCCGATGTACAGATGATCTGCATTATTTTGTCTTACTATATATTATAGTGCGTTCAATATGAAATTTGACGACATTTTTAACGTGTGAACTGAAAAAAAGGTTCGTCAAAATTTCCGTTCGATCAAATTTCCGTCGACAAAATTTCTTTCAAACAAATTTCCGGTAACCGGACGGGTGAAACTAAGGACATGAATCGAATCGATCAAAATTAAAATCAATTAAAATGAATTTTGACCCATTTATAGGGCTTACAAAATAAAATTTTACAAAATTTTCTAATTAAAATTTATTGATTTAAAAAAAAAAATGGTTTTTGACACTAAATATATCGAAGTACAGAAATACTTAGAAGTTAATATTTTCGGCAATCGTCACTTGCGACGCTCCTTAGCACGATTAAAATACGTTTGCACCTTTTAGATCAGGAAAGGAAAATTTTAAATAAAGCAAATTTAATGTAAAATGACTATAACTGAAAAACGTTGTTACAGTTCTTAAATATTGACATGTCCAACAATATTGACACTGACAGTTCCTGACCTTCAATTACTTTGATTTTGTTTTTGTCATTGTTAGCCTTTACGGTGTACTTATTTTAACAAGATGATATCCATCGTGGAAATCTGATCGGAATTGTNNGGGGGGGGAGGGGGTGTCACTGAGATTACCGCACCGGGTTAAAATAACACTTGCTACGCCATTGCTTTCTACAAAGCAATATTTTATTTTTCAAAATCCTTTATATTATTATATTAACTTCACCTTTTTTCGTGTATTTCTTTTTGGGTGGGTGGCAAAATCTTCGGACGGCTAGTTCACCCACTTCCCGTCAACCTATCAAGCTTATACTTGGTACATAGACTCGCTGCCGATGACAAGACATTCTATCAAATTTTCAGCCCCAACCTCAACCCTGAAAAATCAGTTTGTCCTGTTTTTCAAAAGGAATATTAAGGAAATATGCCACTGCTTCTGACTGATTTCACGAACTCAAATTCCCGATCTGCGCTAAATGAGAATCTTAAAATTATATATATCGCAAGAGCGTAATATTTCCTTTTGTTTTTTTTCTAAATAGTGGGCCAAGTTAGTCTTTTTGATAGGTATATTTATATTCAATTTAATTAAGGACCTTTCGCAAGCGTGCCAATGTTACGGACGATCATGTCCTATTTATAAATTCTAGCCTCTCATAGTCACATGACACTGTGAGTCTATTATAAACATTTTGGTGTATTAGGGAGAAACTATTATTCAAATTAAATTAGACAAAAATTTGTTTTTTTCCTTAATTTAAAATATATTAATTATTTAAAAAAATATATTTTATTTTATTTAATTCCTATAAAATAGCTTTCATTAGATTTTTATAGTTACAACTTAAATATTGAACAGTTGCATATTTAATTTATGAGATGTCCCCAATGTGGAAATGCTATCTTTAGTTCCTGAATTTTGTAGAGAAGATTGTAAACACGGCCATAATTTCTTATTGCATTTTTAAAAATTGTTTAAATAATTTAGCTATCACAGTGCCTTTTAAATATTAATTTGAAAATGAATCGTCTATTTGGAAGAGGAAAGCCTAAAGAACCACCTCCTAATCTCAATGATTGTATTTCAAATGTAAGTTTTTAATAGGAAAATTAAAATAATATGTGGAATGATGGAATGTTTGTAACGTAAAAAAAAATGTTAGTCACAGTTAGTAGGTTAGGTAGGCGAGAGGGTAATAGCAAGGTGAAATAAAATCACTCACTCTAATTGATGAGTATGAGTCCTGAAATAGCATATTATAATTTTTTTCAATAGTTTTGTACAGTTATTTTTAAGCCTATTTTTAAATTAAGAATTAACTTTTTTCAATATCATTATGTATAGTATCATATAGTATCATATAGGTAGTTCGGTGAGATTCGGGAAGTGCCGAAAACCGGGTATCGTGATTTCGTTGTCAAAATGGCGACCTCCACTTTTTAATTTACCGAGAGTCACGTTGTTTACGACTTTTTAACTATATATAGCCCAGCATGTTAATTCTATTTCCGCCCACAACTTATAGTAGACATGTTGTGTTATGATTAGACACTTGAGTCCCCCCAAAAATTTTGGGGCTTCACTTTGAAAATTGAAGGTAAAATAACGCAATTTTTACTCATTCATATTTTTTTTGTGGAAAAGGACCTTTCATAGAATTTCAAGGACTTTATAAATAATGGCATTAACTACAACATATCCAAGACCTGTTAATTTAGGACCATCAGTTTGGTCAGAAATTTCATGGGAAATTTTAGTCACGTGTGTCCCAAAATTACCTATTATCGTTAATATTCGTTGCTATGGTAAATAACCTGATTTACTCTGGAAATCCAGACTATTACCCCCTAATAACTTATTTAGAAATAAAAATAAAATAATTAATAAAACAAACACATATTTTTAATATGATTTGATGCTTTTATTGAGGGATATTAGGTTAAAAAAGCCTAATTAATTACAATTAATAGTTAACTATTAGTTTTATATACTGTTGTTATATGTATACTATTAACTATATATATACATATAATATATATACATATATAATTATATATATGTGTGTATGTATATATAGAGGCCTAGAATAGTATTACTATTATAAGTGTAGGCCTATCCACCTCCCCCCCCCCCAATAGTTTTTTGTAGGACCCATTATTCATATGTAATGATATATATGGTGATTCTTAAGGCATAAATTAAGTAAAAGTGTACAAAAAATATTCACTTACCTTTGGTATTGAAATATCCTATATTATATTTAATCACATATCACACTATTCCAAAAGAGAATTATCAGTATTCTCAAAGAAAAAAACACACTTTCTACCACAAAAATCCAAGAATTACATGAGATATTACTAAAATTTAATAATAAAACATTGTAATTACCTCAAGCAAATAACTAGAACTTATTTAAAATTCTATCAACAGCTAAAGTTGATTCTAATAATAAATGTTGATCTGTGAAACAACTGTACTAACTTAAAATAAATGACATACTATTTTTTGTCATATTCACACATTCATATGGTATGGGACTAAAATACATTATATAGAAAATGGTAAAATAAAAAGTTTAATTGTCAATTTTAACTTATTGAAACAAATAATCCCTTTATTATTAGTATATACTTATAAATTTTAAACAATTCCACAGAAAATTTGAAATTAATATCTTAAGAATATTTTATTATTATTATGAATTTTGGGAAATTGAAAAAAAATATTTATACATAATTAATTAATTAATTACGAATAAGTGACGAGTCAGCATATTTTATATATTTTTAATAGGAAAATAATAAAGATTTTTAAAATAATTTTTGCGGAATATTAACAAAAACTAACTTATATTTTGTGGTTTTATTTAGAAGTACTCTAATTAAAATATGTTCCCTGTAAATATTATATTTTTGTGTCATTTTATAATAAAGTTATAGGCCTTAAAAAAAAATCAAAATGAGGGTCACGAGATGTGGAGGAAAATCCCATAGTAAAAAAGGGCCTTTGAGGTCCCTACTAAAAAATTCATAACTTTTGAACCACTTGAGCTAGAAAGTTGATCTTGGTGTTTTTGTAATCTATTCTCCAGGCTCTATACAGCTGTAGTGTTTTTATATTTTTAAAAATGTTTTGAAATTTTAATCAAAGTGCCTATATCATATAGGCCTAGTATAGGCTGCCATGGGCATGGACGGGGACGGGATGGTCTAGGTCTACAATTTTTATCAAATAAACTAGGCACTTTGGTATCGCCCGGAAGCACTAGAAAATGGGTATCATAATTCCGTTGTCAAAATGGTGGCATTCACTCATTCACTTTTTAATTTACCGAGGGTATTCTTGGCTACCTTTTTGTCTTTTACAGTCGATTTTTAGCTTAATAATAATAATAAAACTGATGACAAATAACACCATAGGCATCACCACTGAAATTAAGGTCGGGGAGGAAAGACTAGAGGCTGTAGGCCGCTTCAAATACCTAGGAGCAATAGTCTCAGACGAAGGCTCCAAGCCCGAACTGATTTCCAGGATTGCGCAGACTACAACAGCACTAAAGAGGCTCAAGAAAATATGGAATGACAAAAATATAGCCCCCAGCACCAAAATCAGGCTGATGCGCTCATTAGTCCTCTCCATTTTCCTGTATGCCTGCAAATCCTGGACATTAACAGCCGATCTTGAAAGGAAAATAAAGGCGATGGAGATGAGATGCTTCAGAAGCATTTTTGGCATCTGCTATAGGGACCATATCTCCAATGATACGGTGAAAGAAAGGGTTCGTCAGGCAATTGGGGAGTACGATGACCTACTGGTGACTGTGAAAAAATGCAAACTACAATGGTACGGCCACGTAACAAGGAAACAAGGGCTTGCCAAAGAAATATTGCAGGGCATCACAAGAGGAGGGAGAAGAAGAGGAAGACAAACAAAAAGGTGGGAGGATAACATCAAAGAGTGGACAGGACTAACACTGGGCGATGCAGTGCGTAGTGCTGAAGACAGAGATGAATGGAGGAGGAAAGTTCACATGTCATCTGTGGCCCCCCAACGGTCCAAGGACTAAGGGACTTGATGATGATGATGATGATGCTGATGAATAAATTCTTCATCTTAATTACTTCAAGCCAACATCTTGCTTGTTCTATTGAAAATTCATATGATTTTTTTTTTGTGAGGTTAAAGCTTTGAAAATTGAAATTGAAAATATGTAAACTTCACTGATCAATAACTTTTTTTAAAAGTGCTGATTTATAAAAAAAAAAAAGGCTGATTAAATTTGTACGGTTATTTATAACATATCCAAAATTCATTAGTATTGACCGTATGAAGGCATCAAAAACAAAAATCAAAGAGGTCACATTTTAAGGCTATGTAATTTGTCATCATGGCCACCATGCTTATCTGCATATAACCAATTATCGATAGCTACCATAGGGTAATTAATCATTCATTAAATTTGTTGTCCAGAATATAAATGGGAAATGTAACTAATAATACATTATTTTATATAAATAAAAAAAAAATTTTTATAACATAAATAATTATTATTGGCTTATATCAGTTTTTTTTTTTAATAACAAATATTTATTATTGGCTTAGATCAGTTGCCAGCAAACTCATTAGTCAAAAGAGCCAAAAATCAGCAGCAGGACGATTAACAAAATGCGAAAGTACGCCTTCCGTAAGTCTCAAGGCGAACTAGTGGTATCGAGAGTTTTCCACTATCGGATGAGCGGAGTTGTCTAGTGGGTACATAAGGCGTCGTGAGCGCTTTGAGATAGGTCAGTGCCAGGTCATGCAAGCAGCGGTAGCACAGAGTTGCAATTTTGTACTCAATGCGAGCACGAACCGGCAGCTAATGCAGTTCTCTCATAAGTGTTTTAGCATGGTCGAATTTGCGTTTGCGAAGAACAATGTGAGCTGCATTATTCTGTGCTTTTTGAATTTTATCCAGGAGCGTAGCATTGAAGACCCACCATGAGAGCATTGCAGTAGTCCATGCGTGAAAGCATGAATGCAGACATCAGCCTCTTTGTTGCATCAATTGTTAGGAAGGGCCTGATGTGACTAATCCTGCGCAGGGTGTTCTTCACTGCACCTGAGGGCCGAGACATCACATCTGAAGGCCACTAGATCTATCTTTCGGAGGTCAGGGGATGTGACTGTGCGCAGAAGGCGCCCTGGCTTCCTCAAGTCAAAGCCAAAGATTACTGGGAAATGATCAGAGATCAGTTTGTCCACAATAATAAGATTGCGAATCATAGTTGCACTGTCCTCTCTGACAACTAGCCAATCTAGGATGTGACCCCGAATCTGTGTCGGGACACTGACAAGCTGAGTCATTCTGTGTGTGTCAAGAGCTGATTTTAGGGTCTTCACATAGCTGTCGGTGGTTGAATTAGAATGGCACTTTGTGTCGCCTATTATTATAACGTTGTTGTTGTTGTTGGAGGCGTACATGTCCAGGAGCTGTAGAAACTCTCAGTAAACTGAGAGATCTTCAACTTATTTTGCTTATTTGGAGGTGGCCTTTATATGCAGAAAAAGGTCATCACTTGGTCACCATAATTAAGTTGCATCTTGCACATCTCAAATGAAATAAACTCGTCCGATTTTGAGAACGCGACACTATTCTTGAGGGAGCTCCTGTAAAGGACAGCAATATCACCGCCACTGCGCGACTGCCTTGAGCAAGAGTGAAGGACGTAGTCCGGCGGTGGAATTTCTTGCATCTTGACCTCATTTCCAACATAATTAAACAACGTCTCGGTAATGAACACAAGTTCGGCCTTGCTCTCTAGAACAAGATCAGACACCTCAGGTATCATATCCTGCATGACTGGGAGTTGAAATACCCTGAAATGCCGTGATTGCGGCTTCACAACAGGATGGCAGTCAACAACAACTAGATTTGATCTCGTCACGCCCTCCTTCTTCTTCTTATATTTGAGGTGCCCACGATCAATTTGTTGATCATTCTGGCTCCTGGTTTTAAATTCAGAGTTTGCCTTCTCTTAGACAGGTTGCCGTCCAAGGCTAACGAGTCCCATCCACCCGGGTTGCTTGGGATGGCTTTGGTGGGGATTGAACTCCAGACCACCAGCTATTTCGTTTGAGACAGTTTAGACCACTAGGCCACCCAGCTACCTGTCGAGGCAGTGTGAAATCATGAGCCGCCGGATTGACACGTAGGGAATGGTCGCAATGGATGACACAGTAGGTGCTTGATTTCCGATGTCCACCTCGTTACTGGAAGCTTCATCAAAATGCTCTACGTGACGCTCCCCAACAGCAATAATATTGATGCGGCTGTATTTCAGTGGGGGCTATTTCCGAAGACCAGCACGATAAAGACGCTTCTTCTTTCAACGTGTGCCCATTTTCCACCACCACGATGGGTACACTATATATATAGTGCTTATAGGCCTAGTATCAACATAGTAAAATACATAGTATACTATAATATAGCATAGGCCTAGTCCCAACCCAACTTATTATTTGTAGTGCCTATTATAATAAATTACATGTAATGATATTTTAGGCTAAGTGATCTTATTTCAATGAATATTATGACATGAAATAAGTACAAAATATAAAACATACCTTTGGTATTGAAATAGCCAATTTTTATCATTTATCACAATGTTCCACAAGATAATTATTATATAATCCTCAGTATTCTCAAAGGAAAAACACACTTTCTGACACAGTACAGTCATAAAAACTTGTACTTACCTCAAGCAAATGACTATAAATTATTTTAATTTCTCTCAACTTTTACAGTTGTTTCTAACAATACATTTTAATTTGTGAAACAAGATTACAACTTAAAATAAATGACAAACTAATTTTTTTGGTCATATTCTTATGGGACTAATATACTTTGATAGAAATTGGTAAAATAAAAACTAAAATCCTCAATTTTAACTAAATGAATCAATTAATCCCTGTATTATTTGTTTATACAGTGGAACCCACTTATCCAAATTCTCTGTTTGTCTTAGCATTTTCTCATTGGTTTGGTTGATTTTTTTATGTCGCCGAACCGTGATATCGCAAGCACAAAAGGCAGCCAAATTTGCCACTTAACCTCTGTTATCTTGATCCCCAATGACCAATCGCCGGCTTTTGAAAATTATATACAACAGAAATGTGCCTACTTCAAACTGCAGTAATTGAAATAAAATGACAATATCGTTGTCTGCGTAATTAACTTGACACAGCAAGAAGTGAGGAGCTAGAGACTTGCAAACAAAAGAGAGTGGCGAGGTCTATTTATTTGTTCTATTTATAGTGAACCTGCTTGTTGTTAATATAGGCTTTCACACGTTCTTACATGTTGATTTTTTTTTAAAACCCAGAATCCCTATTTGAATAAACTGAACTGGCAAATTCGGAGCAAGAAAAAATAAAAACGCGCGAATCCGGAGCTGAAAAATATTTAGCCTCACGAATCCGGAATTCTGGGATAAGTGGCACCCCACATATGCCTTGTGTTGTTAGCAAACATGTATGTACGTTTTTATATCACGCCGATCGCTTCATAAAACAAATCACGGTAACGCTGTTGTGTAAAAAAAACAACTCCAAAAACATGTGCATGTACATTCTCATTTATAAAAGCACATTATGTACATAAAAAAATTTCAAGCACAGGTTAATAAATAGCCGTCATATTGATCTCAGCGCTTTATGGCAAACCCAGAAGCTGGCGCCATAACCGGGTTCGACTTTACTTATAAATGTTAAAGAATTTTACAGAAAATTTGAAATTAATATCTAAAGCAGGGGTCTCAAATCATTGGGAGGCCGCTGGAGGTAGAGTCTGAGTGAGACTGGGCTGCATCATGTATTCCACAAAAAAGCGATTACAAATTCATTAAAGTATAACTGTTATAATCTGCTCAACCTTTATTAATTACAAATAAAAACATTAAGGGTTTCCAAGAACTAGGCTTCACTTACTTCCTCCAACTCATTGTTGCCAGAGACCTGGCAGCAGTTCTTCTTACACAGCTGAGCAACTTTGGCTTGAGTGAGGAAGCAACTGAGACCCACAGTGTAGCTTGAAGATGCTCATCAGTGAGTGCTGGTCCTGAATTTTGACTTGTTAAAGTTCATATTGAAAAAGAGCTTTTCACACAGACAGGTACTCCAAAATATTCAGATTATCCGCTTGAATAACCTGGAAATCTCAGGGAAGGTGGAGGGCAATGCTCTTGCAAAATCTCCATGCTTGTTTGTTTTTCCTTCACCTCCCTGAACATAGAATTGCACTGAAGATCAATTAGCTCCATTTGAAGCACACACAAAAGTAGTGGGGAGCATCTTCCACATTGAAGGTCAAAGGGTCAGAAAAAATTTGAAAAGTGGCTTTGTGTGTTTTGGAGTCTGCAAACCTGTTGTGATCAAATTCTTCCTGTAGCTTTGCAATGTCATCAGTATACTTACCACTGAATGCTGTGCCCGAGTCCATGAGTACTTTGCACGTTGGGAAATCGCAGAGGTTTCTCTAATAGCCATAACACAAGTTTTGTGCAGAATGCCGTGACATTGTCATAGGCAACACTGACAAGCTACCCCTGGTCTTGCAACTTGTTGTTGAGTAATTTCAGCTCCTGTGTAATTTCAACAAGAAAAGCAAAGTTCATGAGCCATTTGGGATCACTTAGTACAGGAACAACCACCCCATCCTTTTCCATGAAGGCTTTAAATGCTAAAACCTATTCAAACATTAGGCATGAACAGGAAATATTTATGAATGATTGATGCGAAGAAGAAGCTATTGTAGGGAGAATGAAATTTGATTTCTTTTTATCGTAGAAAGGTCTTTTTGACTAACCTTATTTTGAAAGCGACCAAGCTGACAGGCTCTGAATTTCCCTCACTCGTAAGCCCTAGTGGCAATTTTAATAGGGATTCTTTGATACTGTGTCAGATTGCTACGATTTATACCCTTATGGTATGCATTACCCACTAACTGACTTTTTAAACTTTTTCTCAAAACTGCACTTTGGCCATGTTTGTCTCATAAAATGCTATAAAATAAAAACGTGCAATTTTAAAATGTTTTTTTACCATTAAAATAAACGTCTAAACCTATACAAACATTATAAAATCAAGATTACACTAGTCAAGATTCGACTGAAACCTTCGTGGAGGGTCACATTATAGATATGAGAATGGGGAAAACGCGTGGGCCGCATTAACAATAAACTTTGCTGTCATGTAGTGGGCCGTAAAATATCGTCATGCAGGCCGCAAATTGCCCACAGGCTGCAAGTTTGAGACCCCTGATCTAAAGATTATTATTATTATTATTTTGGGGAAATTTTTAAAAATATAATTAATTAAATACAAATAAGTGTCGAGTCAGCATATTTTATAAAATTTTTTATAAAAAAAATTAAAAAAATTACAGGATGGTGGTGGGGGGGGGGAATATTAACAATATATAAATGTAAAATTTATGGGTTTATTTAGTAAAACTCATATATAACTATATTCCCTTTAATTATTACATTTTTATCTCATTTTATAATAAAGTTATAGGCGTAAAAGCAAAAGCCAAATACAGGCCACAAAATGTGGAGGAAAACCCTATTTTAAAAAGTGGTCTTGTGGTCCTTGCTAAAAATTTCATACTTTAGAACCATTTGAGCTAGAAAAATTATCTTTGTGTTTTTGTAATCCATTCTCTTGACTCTATACAGCTGTTGTATTTTTGTATTTTAAAAAATGTTTTGAAATTTTTGCCATAGTGCCTAAATCAACTGTCTTTCTCAGTATCTGTACCAAAATGTATCACATCTGGCTGATCTGGTCATCAATCATAGTCATATCAGTCAGACTTCAAGTTTCATGGCACATATAAAACTGATTTATTTTTAAATATGTCAAAATTCTTAGATTGACAGTAGGGGAGAGTCCATGGATAAGAAAATAGCAAGGCTTGATGCAGATTTGAAAAAATACAAAGACCAGATGAAAAAGATGCGAGAAGGACCTGCGAAGGTAAGTTACAGTTTTACCAATTCAATTTTCAAGTATAATTATTATTTTTGGTTAATATACGCACCACTTTGAGCTTCTGTGTAGGATTCTCTCCCTTTTGTTAATTTTTCAATTGTTACTAGAGTTAACTTTTCTTTAATACAATGATGTAATGTTTTAAATTATAATTTCACTGGGCCTCGGTGGTTAATTATAATATTTAAGTTTACCGACATTTTGGAAAATAACTTGAAATAAAGTGTCTGAAAGTGTATTCTACGAAACTGTAAGTTGGGTTTTCATTATTTTAAAATTATTTTGTATTGTTTTTCTTCACCCTTACACTGTTCTTATCACAGTGTGTAATTGTAGCACATGTGTTTTAGTTGAGGGAAGGGAGCATCTACCGGTTGAAATTACTCCAGGAAGGGGAGTGACAGCAGGTCGTTGATACTTTTTGCTGCATATCTAGAGGGATACAATAAGGGAGTGACAGCAGGTCGTTGATACACTTTTTGCAGCATATCTAGAGGGATACAATAAGGGAGTGACAGCAGGACGTTGATACTTGTTGCTGCATATCTAGAGGGATACAATAAATTTGCTATGTTCACCACAAAATTAATATCCTCATCCTCATGTCCCCTAGTCCTTGGACCGTTGGGGCGCCACGGATGACATGTGAACCATCCTCCTCCATTCCTCTCTGTCTTCAGCACTACGCACTGCATCGCCAAGTGTTAGTCCTGTCCACTCTTTGATGTTATCCTCCCATCTTTTTCTTTGTCTTCCTCTTCTTCTCCCTCCTCTTGTGGTGCCCAGAAATATTTCTTTGGCAAGCCCTTCTTTCCTTGTTACGTGGCCGTACCATTGTAATTTGTGTTTTTTCACAGTCACCAGTAGGTCATCGTACTCCCCAATTGCCTGACGAACCCTTTCTTTCACTGTCTCATTGGAGATATGGTCCCTATAGCAGATGCCAAAAATGCTTCTGAAGCATCTCATCTCCATCGCCTTTATTTTACTTTCAAGATGGGCTGTTAATGTCTAGGATTTGCAGGCATACAGGAAAATGGAGAGGACTAATGAACGCATCAGCCTGATTTTGGTGCTGGGGGCTATATTTTTGTAATTCCATATTTTCTTGAGCTTTTTAAGTGCTGTTGTATTAATGTACCGGCTGAAATTATTTAATTGAAGATTAACATTTTGTTCCTATTTTCGTTTCTATCTGTAATTAGCTAAAACAGCTCATTCTCTCACTTCCCCCTCCCGATTTTAGCAAACTTGTGTTTGCACTACTTTATTTTTTATATAGCCCCCCATCTTGATTGCAATGACCAATGATATCATGGGTCATGGCAACCAAGATGGGAACCGTTGAAAATAAGTTGTGCAGATTGCGTAAATTTACCTTTTTTAACACCTTCGGTAATATATTTACATTTTAGATAATTCAACTCTAATTAAATATGAACATTACTTTTTCCAGAATCAAGTTAAGCAGAAAGCAATGCGAGTCTTGAAACAGAAACGAATGTAAGTAGCACATGTTTAAGAGAAAGGTGATACATTTTTTCCATTACCATAACATTTTCATTGCATGTTTTACAAGTCTAAAGAGATATGTATCAACAAATAGGGGATTATTTTTTTGTAGATGACACATTACTTTTATTATCCCAGGTATGAAAATCAACGTGAACAGCTGGGTCAGCAATCCTTTAACTTGGAACAACAGAATTACGCAATTCAGAGTTTAAAAGACACAAAAACAACGGTAAACAACATTATAATAATTACACATTTTAAAAAAGAAATGCGATTTTTGTACAATTTATGAATCCAACTGCAATAAGAAGTCACATGAAATCATTAATTGTGAATTGAGAACTGATATTTCATTATCTTGATCTGGCCAATAATCCAAAGATCTATACATTGCCTTTAAAGGGAAGTTCAAGTGATAATCTTTTGCCTGCACACAGGACACATCCAACTAAAGTCACTGGACAAATCCACGTAAACTTACTGGACACATAAAACTAAACTCACACCTTAACAACATAAACCAGAAGGAACACCAACTTGCCCACTTATCAAATATCCAAATGAGATAGTACCACCATCACCTCTATGGCCTCAGACAGAAGGGCGGTTGGATCAGGATGGTGACGAAGATGAAGTATTTTCTTTGTAGTCTGGGACAGTACTGGGTGACAAGCCATATTGGNGGGGGGGGGGGGGGGGGGGGGGGGGGTTGTGTGTGTGGATGTTAAACCCAATAAAAATGCAAATTTAAGTAGCTTTCATAACATACCACAGTTAAATAAATGATCAAAGTGACTCCAGAATAGCATGTAACCAGTCCAGGGTGCCACCAGAGCAGGGTGCCACCAGATCAGGCTGCTACCATAGCAGGATACCAACAAAAGAGACAAATTGAAGTAGTAGGTTGCAAAAAGAACAGTTTTTAACGGAACAGGCTTATACCAGAGCAGAGTTGGGAATCTATTCCAATCCTCTCATTAAGCCTAAAATTAATTATCCCAAACTCGATTAATAAGGCACAAACAATATGTGTAAATAAAGCATTATGTGTAAAGCTTTGATTATGATCAGACAAAATACTAATTCAAACATTTCGGCAAATGCCTTCATCAGTAGGACTACAACAAAAAACATAAATATAATTATAAATTTAATTCACCGAATATATGTATATCGAACTATACTTAAAAATGGATGAAAATAATAAGAACGGGCACAAGTCCGTAACGAAAACAAAGATCAGAAGAACTGAAAGAAAGTGAATGGAAGTAAAAAATAAAAATCCGATTAGGAAAAAGACATTGCAGCTATGTAAAATTGTGAATTTGATTATACCGTATGTAGTCAAGGTATCAAATCTTTTTATTAATTTTTTTTCTATATAAATTCTATTACGTGCATCACTCACAAACAATATATCAGTAACTGTAATGTCTGATTCCAATATGATTAGCTCTATTGATTTATCATCACTTATAGAGTAGATGTATTGTTCCTGGGTTTGGGTAAGAGTACAAAGTTTAGGCTCAATTGCAGATCCGGAAGTTTATCAAAATAGATATGCAAGATTAGACACAGAGAGGTCACTCACTGGTCAGCGGAGGTCACTGGGGACCTAATGATCATGAAGGGTTGCATTGTCATCAGGGATGGGTAGTTGTACAAAGCTTCAGTTCAGTTGGACATCAGGAAGTGGGTCAAATTCGAGCTTTGACCTTCAGAGGTCACTCAAGGGTCAGTGGAGGCCACTGCTGACCTCCTGACCATGAAGGGTTGTATTGTTACAGGGATTAAGTAACCATGTAAAGTTTCAAGGCCCTCCGAGGAAGGGAAAAGGGTGAAAATTGAGTAACAGTATTTGAACCAGACATACAAACAGAAAAAATTGCAAAAAAATAGCTAATAAAAATAAATTTAGACCTTTTTGTTACTTTAAGCACATCCTGTCTGGTCATACCTTTAATTCAAGTGGTAGCTGCTTCTAAAATTAGCTCAGGATAGAATCTAAGTTGGAAAAAATAGATTTCCACCATTCTTTCCTTATATTTAGAAATTTTAATTTCTATTATTCATGGTTAAAGCTCCACCTTGCAATTATGAACATTTTTATTTAATTATGGCTAATTTTTTCTAAGGTTGATGCCATGAAAATAGGTGTAAAAGATTTCAAGAAAGCTTATAAGCATGTGAACATTGACCATATAGAGGTAAGTGGGAAAGTCACCCATTAGAATTGTAATGTCTTTATTACTTTCTCTTTATGTTTTCAGAATGTAAGAAACTTAGGACCATTATATACTCAGTTTACTTTTGATAGGAAAAGACAAAAGTTTTATTGCAATAAAAAAACATCTTCCTGTTTTAATTATAAAAATGTTCAATAAATTTCATTATAATATTTATAATGTTCCGGCAAAACTTGAAAATTTGAATATTTTTATTTGCATTTACTCAAAAAGACTTTGAATTAGTTCACAAATTTTTTTCCTTCTTATTTGATTATTAAGAATTATTACAATTCTTTAATTTTTGCAGAACATGCAAGATGATTTAGAAGACTTAATGGAACAGACAAATGAAATTCAAGAAGTGATGGGGCGGAGCTATGGCATGCCCGAGCTGGATGATGATGAGCTTGAAGCTGAGCTAGACGCGCTGGGTGATGAGCTAGGGCTGGATGAGGATGCCTCGTACCTTGATGATGCTGTGGCTGCGCCGTCCGCGCCAACCAGTGAGCCAGGGGGAGAGAGCAGCAGGGTTAGTACAGATATTCAGTTCTATTATTTTCAATATCCAGAATTTGCTCTCTGATTGTTAATTGTTTTTTATTTCATATTACTCAAGCTTATTAATGAGGCATTTAAAAATAAAAAGGATTAATAGGTTTAAAGTTACATATTAATTGTATAATTTAAAAAAAGTTTAGAATATCTTTAAATGTCACCACATTAATCCTTTAAAATTAAAAAGATCCAAATGTTTAAATGTTACCATTATACTTGTATGCTTATTATGTAGTGAGAAACACAAAAGAGAGATATTTAGAAACTTTAAAACTCTTTGTGTGCTAGAATTAATATTTTTTGTTGACACAATCTATTAGACTAGTAGCATTTTTTGTTAAATGGACATTAAAAAAACAAACATTATTTAACCTGTAATTTATTATTAATGAAAATAACATCCTTAGTATTTTGTGGTTTTGGAATAATTTTTATTAAAAATATAAATCGATGACGAGATCAACTTTATGAAGACTATTTTACAACATAATAATTCATGTTAAATATTAAATTCCAGGGTGATGTCCCAGTCGACGAATTTGGTCTACCGCAGATTCCACAAGGTGCCAAATAATCAATCGTCAGCGTCACTTATTCGTCACAAGCATTTCCTCTTTTTCATTATCATCTCACGTTATTGTCCCTTATTATGAATGAAGCTGAAGTTGTTGTTTTTTTTCTTTCCATTTTATATATCTCATGAAAATCATCATGTATCGCTGTAATTAATCGTTGTTGATTCAGGACCTATTGTTTTGGTTTGCAACTTGTTAAGGTTAGTGTGTGTGTGCGTGTGTGACATGCAAATGGAAGAAAAAGACTGAAAGATTAAGTTAGAGGCAGACCTAAATGTTGTATGTGTATTGCTAGAGTTTTATTTTTAAAAGAAATTTCTTTGAACATCAATTTCTAGGAAAAATACATCTTCAACTTTTTACTTATTTTTAATTTAAAAAACTTACCTAAAACTAACTTTTGTTTAACACTGGAACAACTGACAAGGTTTATGTGGCAAAAATGATTCAATTATCTGGAATGTTTAGATCAAAATTCTGTGATAGCTGTGCACATCTTACTTGAATCAGCTGGGAGTTGGTAGACAACTAATCTCATGTTGAGCTCAGTTCTAAAAGTGTGGACAAATTTACTAGCATTCAGATTAGATTTTGATCATTATGATGTCATAAGTAAACAGATCAAATAAATGATCTAATTTTCTTGCTGCAATATCTCATTCTTTACTAAAAGGAAACAATATGTAAAATTTTGATTATTTTTTAATTTGGCTATTTATTCTATTTATAAATTTGTAAAAATAAATTTAAACAAATTTCTGCAGATAAATATTTCCTGTTTTTTTTCTCTTTAAATTCTCAACAATATTTAGCATTACTGTAAACATTAAGTTTTACATCTTGTGATTCTCAGAATAATAAGTTAACTCTGCTTTTGCAGAGTGATTTCAAAGGAATAACAATTGTTTTTCATAGCGTTTTAGATCAAGTTATTATGGTACAAACTAACAAGCTGGCATGTCTGATAATGTAAAAGTACATTTCAAAATTATTTATTTCTCCATGTATTTGACAAGTTAGTCCTTTCAATGAAAATATGATAATTTTTACATTCTCGCAAAAATTGTTTTGTTAGAAAAAAGCTTTAAAATGTAAAAAAACAACAAATTTATTCCATCATATTGGCTGTGAACTAGTCAAATTTTTTTGTGTGTTTTAAATAAATTCCTTTGGTGTTTTCAAATTTGCCTTGAAAGCTCCTAAAGATAATTGAAGAGGCCCACCGTAATAAACTTTTTAAGCGGTCCTAAATTTTGGGAAAAAATTCAAAAAAAGAAAATCTTTAAATATTATGTGCTTCCTGACTATTAGCATACAGATATGTATAGACAACCTCAAAGGTGTTTAATATGTCGTGACATTGACCAATCCTCAAATGCCTTAGTTCATAATTGTTGAGTACAGTTCTCTCCCCTCAGAAAGTCATCTCTATCTGGGCATCTGTATTGTTATAGCAATTCCTCCATTCACAAAGTCATCTTTATCTGTGTTTGTGAAATTAGATTACAAAAAGTTGTCTTTAATTAATAAAATTTATGTCACACTCATTATATTCCTTTCTTGGCTGTGAAAGTAAAGTTTCAGTTCTTAAAATATGAAATACCAAAACATGTAAATAATAATCAGTTAATGATACTTGGATAAATTATTACAGAAATAAGAACTTCAGCCCACCAAGTCAATTTGGGAATTCAGTTAAATCAACATTAAATCTGACAAATGAACAAAGATCCACACTATTATTTCCACATTAATGATACTTTTAATGTATTTGGTTTTTAAAAACTCCATGTCCCAGGCGAAGTTTGTAGCAAGAAGCTTTTTTACCAGACAAGTTTTGCCAACCCCTAATGTGGACACTACAGACTGACCCAATTTCAGCTTCAGTTTCGGTGCCGAAAGTGGCCATTTTATCACTTTGGGCCAAGTTTTGGCTTCGGCCGAAACTGAAAAGTTAACTTTCGCCTTAATTTGGGTTTCAGCCGAAAGAGGAAAGTTCAATTTTGGTTTATTTTCGGTTTCGGCCGAAATTGACTTAGACTTTCAGCCATCCGGCCGAAAGTGACTGAGTTTTTCGGTCAACTAATACTCAGCGAAAGCGATATTTAACAAAAAACTAAGCGATATCTAAGAACAAACTAAACGATCTTTAAAAACAAATAAAGAGATCTTTAAGAACAAATAAAGCGATCTTTGAGAACAAACTAAACAATACTTAAAACAAACTAAGCGATCTTTAGATCAATAAAAACATTAAGGGTTCTCAAGAACTAGGATTCACTTTCTTCCACCTACTCACTGTTGCCAGAGACATGGCAGCGCTTCTTTTTACACAGCTGAGCAACTTTGGCTTGAGTGAGGAAGCATCTAAGACCCTCAGTATAGCTTGAAGATCCTCATCAGTAAGTTTGGCCCTGAACTTTGACTTGTTAAAGGCCATAGTGGGAAAAGAGCTATTCACACAGATAGGTACTCCCGAAAAGTCATATGATTCGCTTGAACAACCGAAAAATGTCAGGGAAGGTGGTGGGAAATGCAATAAAATGTCCATGCGTTTCTGTTTTTTCCATTCAGCTCCCCGCACGGGGCATCTTGCACATTAAAAGAGAAAGGGTCAGCAAAAAGCTGAAAAGTGGCTGTCTGTGTTTTGAAGTCTAAAAATGTAGAGACCCACACTGGGTAAAAAGGCATAAGAAGAAGATTTAGAAAGTGACCAAGCTGACAGGCTCGGAATTTACCTCACTAGTAAACATTAGCGGCAATTTTAATATGGATCCATTGATAATGTATCAGATTGCTACAGTTTACACAATAATGGTTGTGCATTACCCGCCAACTTGCTTTTAAAAACTTTTCTCAAAGCCGCAAACTTTGCCATGTTTGTCTCATAAAAATCTATTTAAAAAAAAAATTAATCCGATTTTAAAACGGTTCTTACCATTATAATCATCATATAAAAATATATAGAAACATAATAAAAATCAGAATTAGACTAGTCGGTGAGATTCGACTGAAACCGTCGCGGAGAGTCACGTTATAGATATGAGAATGGGGGAAACGCGCCGGCCGCATTCACACTGAAATATTACATTAAGAAATGGCGTCATCGGGCCGTCAAGATTGCGCTCTTTATGCCCTCCCCAAAATACCTTTCCCCAACCCCGTATCGGGCCGCGGAGCGGCACGTCGGAGATATCCCTTTGTCAGGACAGCCCCCATCCGAGTCTGCTCGACCAGGGTCTCTGCCGGGGGCCGTCCTAACCAAAGACACTGTCGGTCCGACACTGTGTTTGCACACAGTGCACACGATTGACTTTCTCAGGAGTCGAGATGGAAAAAGTTACGTCCTAATATCTTCCCCCACCCATCCCGCGGAAGCTTTAGACGCCCTATAACAGGGATTCGACAGTGGGTTTCCACAACGCAACTAATTCACGATGTAGCTGGGACGAAACGGTTGCCTTGGAACAGCTTCTCAAGGCTGCATAGTAAGAATCATCGGCCAGAGGTTACCACCTTCGCCTCTCACCTCATATCCATTAACGGCAACTTTTAATCATGATCCCTACCCTGTCTCTGCCTATTCTTCCAGTTGGGAAGTATCAAAACTGGCAGACCTGTAGGAGCTGTTTTATGTACGGCAGGTAACGAGCACGTCCCTTGTCTGCCCACGCAGGACGCGCCCAGTAGTTGTGTTCCCCGGGTAACGTAGAGGGGGTCGGTGGCCGACGCCTCCTAATCGACAAGCCACCGGAGCCCCGGAACGCCGCATTAACACTAAACTTTTCTGTCATGTAGCGGGCCGCCAAATATCGTCTTGCGGGTCACAAATGGCTCGCGGGCCGCGAGTTTGAGACTCTCATATTAGATATTTATTTATTAATACTCACGATTATCTCCTTTTTAAAACAAGAATGTAAATATTGATACTTTCCCCCATCGTTTTCGACGTATGCAGTATGTATGCGGGAACGAATTTCAAAATATCTAAAAGTTTCGGTTTCGGCCGAAAGTCATTTTTAAACTTTCGGCATATTTTTGGTTTCGGTCGAAATTCATTTTTAACTTTCGGCCTATTTTCGGCTTCGGCCGAAGTCAGATTATCACTTTCGGTAGGTATCTAGTGGACAACTGAGAGAAGTTGTGCAAACTCCTAATGTGGACATCCAAGAGAAGTTGTGGCAACTCCTAATGTGGACATCCAAGAGAAGTTGTGCCAACTCCTAATGTGGACATCCAAGAGAAGTTGTGCCTACTCGTAATGTGGACATCCGAGAGAAGTTGTGCCTACTCCTAATGTGGACATCCAAGAGAAGTTGTGCCTACTCGTAATGTGGACATCCGAGAGAAGTTGTGCCTACTCCTAATGTGGACATCCAAGAGAAGTTGTGCCAACTCCTAATGTGGACACCCGAGAGAAGTTGTGCCAACTCCTAATGTGGACATCCGAGAGAAGTTGTGCCTACTCCTAATGTGGACATCCGAGAGAAGTTGTGCCTACTCCTAATGTGGACATCCAAGAGAAGTTGTGCCAACTTCTAATGTGGACGTCCGAGTCCGAGAGAAGTTGTTTTATAACATACACATACAATTGAAAGCCAAAGAGCGTAAGCCTATGTATTAATAGTACTTTTTACTTAGATTTTTTTTTTACAAGCATAAAACAGTCATTTTGAAAAAAAATCATTTCTTAACATAAATTAGTAAGCTTGCAATATAAAATATATAACTAATAGACTCACAAGTTTCTTGATTTTATTTAATTTCACATTTCTTTTAAGCCATTGGACTCGCTGTGTATCCAGGCTGAAGTATGAACAGCTGGAAGAGGGCACTGTTGTCATCCATAGATTTATCTTCGACTATGACTATTACCACTGCGTCTATCACTCAGAATCACCGTCCACGAATCTCTAACTCTGCTATCTGTGTCTCGAAAAACTATTCCCTTAAATTTCCCGTCGTGTTACAATAAATTCTACTAGATACGCGTCCCGCGGTCATTGAGTTACTATAATACATCAGACAACATGTTCCCGACCAGATCCTTTAACCCCCGACGCCTGTTCCATATTCCTACACCCTTATTTACACCTATCACGTTGATGTTTTTTTCTATCCCTGATTTTAATCTAACGCTACCCAACGCCGGGCTTAAATAAACTTTCGCCCCGTGCGAAGCACCCGTTCGGCGCCCCTTTTCCTGCCCCTGTATGGCTCCACTCTTTTTCCGATTACGACGTAGGCTATGAAGCACGTGTTACGAAGCTTTACATAGCTAACCATACGCATTTTAACATGCACATTAATTTAGACTGTTTAGTTTTTCTACGGTTTTATTCACACGCCACTATTATATACTAAGGGAATTTAAATATTTACTGGGCGTCCCAGGCGCCCCTATGGCCAGGGAGCCCTGTGCAGTGATTATTTCGGAAATTTTCCCCCCGGGGAGGGCAGTGCCAACAGTGCCAGTTGATTTATTGTTGAACAAAGGTTTGATCGCTCGGGGGGGGGGGGGCCCTTGGCTTTCCCCGGGGGGGGGGGGGGGGGGGTCTGGGGTATGCCGGGGGGGGGGGGGGAGCCCCCCCCCCCCCCCGGAGACATAGCTGGAAAGAAACCCTGGCCTTGTGCGAGGGCATAGATCGCACACCTTAAAGACCGGCGTTTCGCTACCCATGATCTTCATGAACATACCACTTTTACCAGGTAATTACAGAACTCATTACTCCAGTTCAATCAGTTTATATTCATGGGGTCAAAGTGCAAATATTAATATTTTTTAGTATTAATTTATTATTTTCCCGGGGGATGTGTCCCACCTTGATTCATACTGTTCGCGCCCATGGCCATAGACACACTTGGAGATAACTAGGGTTCAATGCAAAGGTAATGCACAAATTAATGCAACCTTCACGAAGTCATTAGCCTCGTGCATTGGCCAATGGCATTGGACTTGTTCTATTTATGGGGGCAAGGGTCAAAAAGAAGACTTTCATATAACAAGAAAAGAAAAAAAAAAAAGGACTATACATCCGGCTTTCCACAACTTCATTGATTAGATACGTACTTTTAGTAACTACCGATGGTTGAACTGCGTGGTCCAATGGTTTGTTTTGGGATTTTCATCATTTATTGTCCATGAATCATTTTAAAATCACTAATTTTGTGTTGTATTCTTAGTTGTGTGTGACCTTTAAATTCCTAGTTTTGTGTTGTATTCTTAGTTGTGTGTAGCCTTTAAATTCCTAGTTTTGTTTAGTGTTCTTATTTGTGTGTGGCCTTTAAATTCCCAGTTTTGTGTTATATTCTTAGTTGTGTGTGGCCTTAAATTCCCAGTTTTGTGTTATATTCTTATTTGTGTGTGGCCTTTAAATTCCCAGTTTTGTGTTATATTCTTATTTGTGTGTGGCCTTTAAATTCCCAGTTTTGTGTTGTATTCTTATTTGTGTGTAGCCTTTAAATTCCTAGTTTTGTGTTGTATTCTTAGTTGTGTGTGTCCTTTAAATTTTTAGTTTTGTGTTATATTCTTAGTTTTGTGTGTCC